TGTTCGAGTCCTTCAATTCCCATCCATTCATTAATTGCCATTGTTGATGAGTATCACCTTTTTGTCCTATCTAAAATGGGTCTCGTTGTTGGACAGGACACACAAGGACACTGCAACTGTGTGTGGCAACCCTCCAAGCGACAAGGTTCCTGGTTTGATTTTGCTTAAGGGAAATGGTAAGTAGATTGCAAATCCTGATTGGGCTCTACTGTTGGTTTGGGAAGGACGAGAAGAGGAATGGGGCCCAAATGTCAATACACAAACCAGGAGTTTAAGACCGGGCCAATGTTCCATGTCCATTCGTATAATTGTCCAGGGCCCAAATGGAAACTCACATTGGAAACTCCGAGCTTGGGACAAAACCAAACGGGTTTGTATCCTTTACGTACCTATTATGCATTGTGTTGGAAGCTTTCGAGCAACCCTTTGGGGTTTGCTTTTAAGGGAAGCCAAAAGGGACCTTTCAATCTTTGGCAGTTCCAAGCCCAATTTAGATGAACCGACCCATGGGGGGGTCAAATCGTCACATGGGTTCTGGTTCGGCTCCCGACGTGATCCTTGATCCTGGTTTGGATTGGTTTTGTGGGCTTCACCGAACCACTCCAAGCCACTCCAAGCCACTCCAAGCCACTCCAAGCCACTCCAAGCCACTCCAAGCCACTCCAAGCCACTCCAAGCCACTCCAAGCCACTCCAAGCCACTCCAAGCCACTCCAAGCCAACCCTCCAAACCACCACTCCAAACCACCACCCCACACCAGAACTCCAAATTCACCACTCCAAACCCAATATAAGCCCCCATACGGTGAAGCTGGTCATCGACCCGTTGACCCCTCGAGGTCAGTTCACCCAGATGCGGCAGCGTGAGCTGGTGCTCACCACCCAGCCGCCGCCAGGCACCCGTGTCCGGGTGGAGCACCCGCGCCATGGATCCATCCATGTGGCTGTTGTCAAAACCGTTTTGGTTGATCCCATTTTCATGGCTGTTGTTGGGAAACATTTTTCCATTGTTGCTTATTGTGGTTTAGTGGTTGAAATCCAACCACTTAACGGCTAAGATTTGTAAGTTTTTGCTCCCCTTCCAACGTCAACCAAGTTTTGGTGGGTAGGTGAACTCACCACCCATTTTAGGACCCATTTTAGTGGTTGGATTGAATCGGATGTTCACTGGGGCTACGATTTGGATTTTGACCCATGGCTCCATGTGGGGGTTGACCGCGGGTTGGTGAACATTTGTCACGGCCCCCAGGTTTGACCCTAGAATATTCTTGGCCTGATGCTCCAAGGATCCATGTGGGGGTTGATCCATATTCCATTTCGGGCCCCCAGGTTTGACCCTGGGCCACTTTTGCCCGCTTGGGGGAAGTCCTCTTTTTGGGAGGTTTCCCCAATGGCCGTTCCATGTAAAGGACCTTTTTTTGATCAATCCCCAGGTGTCAAAGGGGGAAAATTCAAGAAAGGCGTTTTTTCTTTGTGGTTTCCCTGGTTTCCCGAGATGAAAAGGCTGCCCTCACAAAACACGGTCACAGGAAAGAGCAAGCCAGTGAGTTCAACGCACGCTTTTGAACACACCTTTTGCCATGCAAGTATGTAGTGACTGAGAGAGAGTCCCTGTTTGCAGGGACTTCCCAAATGGTTCGATTGACTGGGTTCCGATCGCAGGCGAAAACACATATCAGAAATCCCACATGTGACAACTGACATGACAACACATGCATTGGGTTGGCCTAGCTGGAGAGGTAACAGCATGGAAAACAACAAGAAAAGCACTCACAACAGAGAACAATCAAGATGGAAACAAGACGGGAACAAGATGTGTTTGAGGTCATCTTCTAGAGGCAACTTTCAATCTGGAGAATCCGACTCTTGCTCAAAAACCAGCGAACACCAGGGAGCAGGTGTTTGAAAAGAAGAATGGTTGCGCATAATGTGGAGTCAACCCCCAGAAAAAGGCCGAAAAAGGATGGATGGTGATGCTTGCATCTGGCAGCATGAAGGAGGTGAGGAGATTGTGCTGTACGCTTCTTCAAGAAGCTGGCCGCACGCTTTCGATTTCAACGCTTACCTTCTTTTTCTGGCGACCAATGGCTGGCTTGCTGAACTGGGGACAGCGGAGATTTTGCTGAAAGCTTCGAGATTTCCCCTTCAACACTGCAAAAGGGTTTCGAGCTGCTCCTTGAGTTTGGGGAGGGAAGTCCTTCTGCGGTAAGGCGTCAAAATAGCTGCGGTTTTGCGAAGTTGCCAGTAGATTCATGGGTCGCGATATGCTTCACATCGCTGGAAGTCGGGGTGCAATGCTGGTTGGATCAAGCAGACCCTGATCGCCATTCAAGGGCAACCAACGAGCGGTGGCTGAAGCAGCCGCTTTTTCATCCATGTTAAATGTACTTCTCCCAAGCTCCTGGGCTGATGCTTTTTCGGAAGACCAGTCTTTGCAGTGAGCAACAAGTTAGACCATAGACGCTATTAGTATGAGGCCCAATGGGTTGACTTTGACGAGTTGGGAAACTATTCAGATTGTTCTTGGCCGCTTCTCAGTTTGACCTTGAACCTTTTCACATTTTGACACATGTCATGAGTCGGTTTCCCCACAGTTTTTCCGGAAACGTTTTGTTTGGTTTGTCAAAGGTGCTGCAAGACCAGATCAGCATTTTGGGCGCCAAACCACTCACTTCCCCAGACGTTGACTGCAAGCAAGAAAGACAGGCGGTGCATTCTTCCCTGTGGGCGAGGACGCGGGGCCGCCGAAGCACGATGAACGGTTTGGGTTGAAGGAAAGGGTTGCTTGCTTGCTTGCTTGCTTGCTTGCTTGCTTGCTTGCTTGCTTGCTTGCTTGCTTGCTTGCTTGCTTGCTTGCTTGCTTGCTTGCTCGTTTGTGAACTGCAGAGCTGTGGCTCGAATGGACTAGGTTATTGATCCCTATTCGAATTCAGAACCAGGGTGGTCGTTTCAAGACTACTTTCTGGGCACAAATCCATGGTTGCCCCCTCATCTAATCCTTCTCGAGGTATGCCAACCTCTTGGCAAAGCAGGTGGCAAATCAATGTGTTGAGCATCTTGGACCCTCAATATTTTTTCTCGGGCAAGCGAAGCGCGGCCGATTCGTTCCGTAAAGATGGCCAAGGCTTGGATGGCTTGGCGATCTGACACCCTGGATTCTGGAGTTCACTGGGGCCGCCACAAGACCTACAAACCACCAATACAAACCACCAATCCTAAACCTCACCTCCATTCATGGCACCTGTCTGCGGGGGCGGCAAAGGGGGCCGGGACCAGGAAAGCATTGGGTCCAAGTTGATGTCCCCTGAAGGGTCTTACTCCTTGTCTATCCTCATAAACATGTATTTCGGCAAACCATTATACTTGGTTGAATAATTCCAGTGATGAAGTTTGCCAGCCCTACCACCAAAGTGAAAAGGGAATTCTCCAAACCCTGCTCTTGTTTGCAACCAACGCTTTTCCAAGGGGCGAAACACTTTTTTTGTCCGAGCCTCTTCTTGCTTGGTTGACCTTAAAGGCAGACCCACTCCCACGAAATGGAGGTTCATTCAACCCCCCCGCCGGGGAACGGCCGGGTAATCGACCACTTTAGGCTCAATAGGCCACTTCCCGCCCTAAACGCCCAACGGAGCGGGCATCTCTTCTTTTCAGGAAGTTCCTATACTTCCCGATTTGGTGGCTTGAACATATGCCCTGTTTGACCCATTGGTGAGTTCCCATTGGTAGGGGTGATGGCTTTTTGTCGCAAAGAACGAGGAACCACGGCTTTGCCCCGAGGTGCCATGCCAGGGCAATCAGGTGAACGTGAGCCGTGGGCCCAGTCTGAGTGCTTGCGCAGGGTTGTTTTCAGGACGGCTTCTGGGATGGCGTGTGGCAAATCTAGTTGATCTTTCAATGTTAAGCTTGAACAGCGCGAACTTGGACCAACCACCTCGAGAAGCCAGTTGCTCTTTCACTTGGATCAGCAGCGGGATTTTTTTGTCTTAGTGGAGTTTCCTTGGCATAAGAGCATGTGAAAAGATAGGGGGCGGAGTGGCTACTTCCTGCCAAGGGAATCCCCATAAAGAAGCCATGAGAATGGCACATCTTCCTATGATTCCAGCGAACCTCTCAACAAGCCCTGGGAGTCAACCGCTTTGGCATGCGGCCCATTCTTCCCCGGTTTGGTCTGTGGTCTCAGAACTGTATTTGGGGTAAGTCCAACTGGGTTCTCCAACTTGCCCGGTGAGTCAGGCCTGCTCGACCTTGTGTCGCCAGAGGAGTTCTCCGTGGGGCTCCCTTCCACCAACGACTCTGAAGCTCACAAGGCTATGTTTGCGAGTGGTTTTTTCTGGATGAAACCGCCATGGTTCCCTGGAAAGGGGAACCGAAATTTCAGAAGGTGGTTGAAAACACAAAATCGTCGTCAAGACATGTTCAATCAATGTCCAGCCAAACGTTACCCTCCCAGTTAACATGGAACCTTGACAGGGGGTCCTGGTTTGGACCAATTTCCTAAAGGGACCGGGCCCCTGTTTCCGGCTGTTAATTGGTGGGAGGGTACCTGTTTGATTTTGGTCTTGAAACAGTTGGGTGCCAAAGCGCAGACTGGCCCGCAATGACTTGCCGAGCCCATTTTGCAGACGGAGAGCTCAGGAGATGGCGGGCGCTTCCCCGGACCCGCGAATGATAGGTTGTATGCAACACATACGTACACGTCTTAAGCAAGCAGACAAACAGATGATGGTATGGATTTAGGAATGCTTTATACTCTCGCACTGTGCATTTCCACGCACAAGTGTTTGAGCACACACATATCATTCGCGTCTGCACATAGGTACATCACATATATGCGCACAAGGGCATATGCTGCATATGCTGCATATGCTGCATGTGCTGCATATGCTGCATATGTATACATACATATGTAAATATAAGTATATATATATATACACAATTATACACGTATACACACATGCACCTCTAAATACACTCGCACATTTGTGTTCAGCCGCAGCCACAGAAAGCGTCCTCACCGAAGCCTCGAAGCCTCTGAGCCCGCGCCCGGCTCCATGTTTCACGCCTTGGGCGGCCTGCCTGCGCCATTGGCGACTGCGCAGCTCCAGCCGCCGCGGGCAGGCGGAGGCGGGGGGGAGGGGGGGGGATGTAGATATTCTCTGGGGTAGACTTAGGATACATTTTACATTTTACCACTGACTCAAAGGGAAGCAAAGGATAGAATATACATTCTACAACTGGGCCTTAAGTCTAATCATGTTCTGAGGAGCTCATTCGGGGGTAAGACGAGCTTAGGGCTGGAGGTGCCTGGCTCACGGATTCCTTGTTTCAGTTTGGTGTAAAGGGTGTAGGGGTCTAGGGGTCTGGTGGTGAAACCTTTGATCCCAGGAAGGAGAAGCCTGGGAAACCTTTTGGGTGATACAGCAAAGTAACCCACCCACCATGGAAGCCCTTCCAAAGTACAACTGCGCGGCAGTCGGCTGAGTTGGGACGCTACCTAGTAAGTGTTTAGCCCCCCTTGGTGATGATCCTATTGGGGAACTTCTTGTAGGGGTAAAAGGGTTGTTGACCAAATCACTTCCTTGTAGCCTGCCTCCTCAAGTAGAGGGCCCTCGTAGCAGCATCCCAATCCTTGAAAACAGACCCATGATTTAGGATCGGACTGGCGTGGCTGGGGCCTCCATGGGCCTCTTGTTTCCGGCCTTTTGTTTGCTTTGTTCTTTGGTTGGACTCAACCGTGCCACCTCAAAAACGACAAAGGTTGCCAACCACGAATTGGCCAGGCGCGAATCCATGCTTGCCCATTCTTGCCCGCGATCAGTTTGACCAACCTGGTGGTAGTTTTTGGCTTGGGACCAAAAGGGGTGGATCCTCCTTATTTCCTCGCAAAAGGGAGGTGGGGAGGTGAAGCTCGAACTGGATACATTAGAGTCACAAGAGGGAAGACCGTGCGTTGCTCATGAGCATTAGGTTGCCATGTTTAAGCTTTATGTTTGAACCTTAGGCCGTAAGCTGGGGCCGCATTTTGGAGGTTGATCCGGGCCATTCTTTTCTTTGCGAAGCTTGCCTCTTTGGCTTTCTCTTCTTTCTTTTCCTTCAACAAAGTTTGCCACTTGGTTTTCCTTTGTTTCGCCTTCAGCCGGACACGTTTTCGCGGTCCGCTGAAAGGCCGCGCCCTCGGCTAGGCCTCCGAGCCGCGCCGAGCTCGGCGGGCGCGGCGGCTTCGACGGCTGAGGCCGGCGGCTTTGCGGCGGCGGCGGCGGCGGCGCTGGGGCGGCGGCCGAAGGCCACGCAGGAGCTGGTCACTGCTTGCAGGGGTCGGACTAGCTTTTTCCACCTTCAAGCGGTCCAAATGGCTTGTGAAGTAGTATGGTGTTTTAGTAAAACAAATCCCCCATGTCCAGGGCCTTCTCAGGCGCTCTCCTCGCATGCTTGATTTGTTTTGGGCCTTTTGTCGTTGGCTTCGGACACCAAAAGGAAACCACGCATTTCTGGGGGTCACCTCATTTGGAGCCAAACCCTCGCAACGTGTCCAGAACTGGGTTTCCGCATTTTTGTAAGGATTTCGGAGCACCTCTGAGTAAGGGTTGACCCTTTGTCCAGGAAGCAAGTGGACAATGGGCCTTGTTCCAAACGCTGTATCCATTTCCATTGGAAAGAGGGTATTGGTGAAGGGCACCTCTCGAAAAGGAGAGAAATGTCCCAATAAAAAGCTCGCGTGTTGGTGTAGGGGTTTTGGCGTGAACATGTGTGTGTGTGTGTGTTGTTGGGTTTTTGAGGATCCCCGTTTTAGGTCAGAAGAGGCGCCAAAGGACAAGAGGTCCCCGATTTGGACGCCGCAGGATTCGGTCTTCCGATGGCTGGGCAAGGTTTTGCGGCAGCGCTGGGGCCAAGAGGTGGGATGCCGGCCCACCAGTCAGCCGCTATCGGCCGCGTTTTTGCCGGGGTTTGGTGATGGGGTCCGGTTTTTTGGAGGCTGAAGGGGAAACCAAAAGGACACCAAGCATCTGAAGGGGTCCCGAATTTTGAGTGGTCACAAGGTTTGGCGGGTTTGGCGGGAGGGGTGGGGGCATTGGCTCCATATGGCCAACTCCTACAAAAAAACAGGGAGACGGGGCAAGCTTAAAATGTGCTTTGCTGCCTGTTTTGACACTGGCTGACATGAGAACCCTTTGTGAATAACCCTCGTTACAGCCAGGCTGTTTCGTTTGTCATTTGTCGTCCCAGATTATGGTATTTTCCTGATTTAACGCTGGGAAATTGTGAATCAGGGGTCGCAGCTGTAGGTTGGTACTGTAGCAAGAGTCTTCTTTGCCCTCCCTGACCACGTGGCCAGGGCCAAAGGGCTGCACTTGGTGCCGAGGAAAAGCTGTGTTTGAACATGTGAGCTCCCAAAACGCCCTCTGCCTACTTCTATTTGCCCAAGGTGCTTTTGCCTTGATTTTCCCTTGTTGGTTTTATTAGAGGGGATGGGTTTGATTAGTCAGACATATATGAGCTGACAAACCAAGGAGGGGCAACCCAACTTCCCACAAAAACAAGTGCCCCAATTTTCCAATGTCCTTTTGCAAACGAGTCGAATACTGTCCGCGGGTCATTGGCAATCGGACGCTTGCTCAGACAACATTTCGGATGCCTCATGCCACTCATTGCACTCTTCCATCGCTCTTTTGGCACTCTTTTCGCACTCTGTTAGCACTTTTTTCGCACTCTTTCCGCACTCTTTCCGCACTTTCCGCATAGGACTCCTCCACCGGGCGGCGTCTCAAAGGGGCCCCCCGGCCCCCGGCCTGCGCCCTGGGCCACTCGAGGTGCTGGACGCCGGGACGGGCCCGGACTCCTTGGGCTGGCTGAAGCGGCAGACCGCGGAGAAGGCCCCGGCGGTGACGGCGGTGACGGCCTGCGCGGCTCGGCGGCTTCGAAGGGGCGGTGGGTCCAAAAAACCGGGGAGATGCGCCGAAAAGGGGGAGAAAATGCCTCAAAGAAGGTGGGACATGCGCCAAAACAGGTGAGGCATGCGCCAAAAAAGGGTGAGCCATGCGCCCCAGAAACCGGGACTTACAAAAAAAAGGGGGAAAAGGAAGGTGAGTCCCAAGAATTAGGTACGGTCTAGATCCCCCAGCTAGGTGCCCTTTTACCCTTTTTGGGTGGCGGGTTCCCTTGCTAAAACAAACTACCGAGAAAAAAAGGGTACCCTTATTCTAACCTCTCTACTGGAGGGCCTAGGGGTAAATGAAGGTGAATCCGGTGGTTTAATTTTGACCCACACCCACATGAAATGAGCCAGAATCTGAAAATAGGGTAAATGAAGGTTCGTGAGGGACAGTCCCAACCACAAATAGGAGCGGCCGCCTTTGTAGCTCTTTACATCGGTTTAGGTGGACCATTTAAGTACCAGTTTTTGACTGTGACACAAGCAGGGAGCAGGGCTGGCCGCCAGAATTTGGTGGAAATACTGTCTAAGCTATGGTCATATAGTTTACCAGAAGTTCGCCTTGGGCAGACATGACAACAGTGCTGGAGGATCTCTCTTCCTTCTTTGCTTTTTCTCCCTCTCTCTCTCTCTCTCTGTTGCTATGTTTCTTCATTTTTTTTCTTTCTCCAGCGGGCACTTGACCGGTTTGTCAGACGGGTCGATCCCTTTTTGAGACCTGTCTTGGCAACAAACACCCAGCCACGGCCTGCAATGAATGCATCTTGATAGCGAATGGCATGGTCCCAACTGGGAAATTCAAGCTGACTCTGAGGTGTTTTGATTGTCTTGTGACTCATTTTGCATTTTTCTCCTGCAAGGCGAAACAGTCCAGGCAGCCAGCCCCCTTTGCTTGCCAACAATCCGCGTTCCCTCCCCCCCCCCCCAACAAAAAAATCCAAGTCAATCAGTTGGGGCGCTTTAACGGTCAACGGGCGGAAGCGAGTGGCCTTTGATGTTGCGGGCTCCAGAACTGGTTTGGGTTGGGAATGCCCAACCAGCCATCGGGCACATGCTTTTTGAGTGTATCCTTTCCTTTCAAGGGAAACCAAAACGAAGCCATTTTGGAGGGTTTCTTAGTTTGACACATGGGTGTGTCTCAAGAATAAAGAGCTAGGGTTGCGCAGGTTTTAGTCTTGGGTTCCAGGTACCAAGGTGACATTCTGGTCTCCATTTTGTTTGAGCCGCAGCATCCCCAGTTGGCCAAGGAAGGCATGTACGCGACCATGGAGGATGAGGTCTTCCAGTTTCTCAGCCCTCAGGACCAGGCGCGTGCGGCGACGGGAACCCTCGGCCGAGCCCCTGGCTAAACACCTCTTGCCAGACGGGAGACGGCAAAGCAGAGGCGAAGTAGACGGGTAGCTCCTGCGAAAATCTGACTGGATATTGGGACAGGATCTCAGGTTACCAGACCCTTTCTGCCCAGAGTCTGCCATCTTCTGCCATCGTTTGCCCCCCCATTTTTTTGGTTTTGTTGTTTTGCCTTTGGGTGTTTTTCATTTGTCCCTGCACTGTGGGTTCACTGTGAAGATTGGCCAAATAATTCCAGGGACAATGTCGGTGGAGCGCTTGCCTTGTGTCTCAGAAAGGCGGGTTTTGAGGGTAGGGGATATCTAGGTTCCCAACCGCAGGTGATTCCCTGAGAATCAGCGGAATTCACTGGGTTTCAAAGGCAGCTAATATGCAGGTTCCCAACCCAAGGTGATTCCCTGAGAATCAGCAAGAGAAAGCATGGGGGAATATCGCCCACTGTGTTAGGAAACCTCCTCTTACAGGGAATGAGTCTTTTTGCGAAGGAGTATCACGGTGGGACATTCCCAACACCTTGAGGTCCGGAGTTATCTCAACATGGCCAGGCTTTGGTGTGACCTCAGCCCCGGGGATCTTTTGGCAAATGGCTTCTACATTTGGCCCAGAACAGGTTGACCTTTCGCTCGTTCCGGGACCCGGAGTGGACCAACTCGGTCCTTCGGGGCATCGGAGGTGTTGCTGGGCAACTGGCAAGACGAGTCCTTCCTGAAAGACCGCACCTTCGACGTGGTGCTGGCCGACTACCTGCGCCCAGGCAAATTTCTCAGCGGAAGTTTTCGTAGGCGGGGGTGTCCCATTTTGGGGAGGTTTTAAAGAGAGACCAAGAGGAAGCCAACAAATTTGAAGGGTCACCTTTGAGACAAATCCATTGATGTTCTCTTTCGTCTAATAGTGACACTACTCACTTCTCCCTGAGTTGCTGGGCTTTGAACTTTCCGGGAAGATCATGTCAGTGGTGAACAACTTGTCCGGACTTTTTTGAGCAATCCACGGAGGAAGTCAGACTACCAGAACGAATGCCTATTTGGAATTGAAGCCTGAAGTCCAGGAGTTTCTACAGGAACTTAGTCACTCCCCACTAAATACCAGGGGTTGGGCCAACTGCTTGTAGAATTTCCCCTGGTCGTCTTAGAGATAGTTGATAGAATATCTAGACCGCGCATAGGGCGGATGGAATTGCAAAAAAAACCAGTTTTGCACAGCATGCCTAGGGTTTTCGCTGACTGCGAGCCCCCTGTGCCGTGGGAAAAAACAAACGTACAGGCCTGCATAGAGAGACACGGCTTCACAAACGGAGATTGCAAGGAATGTTTTTGTAAACATTCCATTGGCCAGAGCGGCTTTCTCTTCGTAGTGTGTTGCAGAGATCTTGCAGTGTATGTGTATACATATACATATTCACTTCTAGTACCATGAGTTGACATGTAGATAAGGCACACTAAGAAAGCACCATAGTTAGCATGAATGTCGGGGAAATATGGGGAACCTTTCCAGCTGGGTGTGGTGGCAGTCGGCGCGGCCTAGGATGTTAGGATGTTGGTACCAAAACTGGGATCTCTTTTGATGATGTTACCGCATATTGGAAGCCTGACTAGGTTTGGGTTATAATCTGCAAAAGTAGGTTCCAGCTGTGTTGATTGCAGGGATTGTCGAGCGCCCTGCAGGGTTGCCCAAGATAGCTTTTGGTTTGCGAGCTTGGGCCGCTTGGGCATCCCAACGGCTGGTCTTTGGAGTGACCGTAGCCCCTTAGACCTTCTGGAAACCAATGGGTTTTCCATTACGCCTACGAAGGGTTAGACCCTTTGCTCAGGGGGAAGAGCAACCCAGCAAAGAGTGGGGATGTGGAGTGGGTCTCTCGGTCGTTTCCGGGCTCGGTCAGTCTCAGAGCAGGCTGGGATCTGTGGAGCACTTCGCCCCCTACTTTCAGGCAGAGGGGTGGCTCCAGAGATGTGTGTGTGTGTGCCTGTTTGAGGGTGCTCTCTCAGCTTGGTTCAAAGGTCTCCCAATTTTTACACATACCCAGATCGTGCCTTTTGGCCGCCCGGATTTTTCATTTGGCTTAACTCCAGCGAAGTTTCCGGGAAACGATTGGAGATTGCCGATTCTTCGAATGCACATAATGATCGCCTTCCGTTTGCTCCAAGGGTTGGTGCACGTGCGGCCCCTTTTGGAAGGCGCCATACGTTTTCAAGGGGGCAACGGTGCCACCATGTTTGTTGGTGTGTTTTGTTTCTTTGCGGCACTACAATGCAAATGGAAGCCACCCAAAACTCAAGCACAGGTTTTTTGCCTATCTTGTTTGGCGCTGTTGGCAGTTTTCAACCACACTTGCTGGGCCAATTTGAGGAGGGCAAATGCAGCGAACCTTCAAGAATCTGTGGCAACATGGGCGGGGGAGAGTCTCGAGGAGTCCCCCAAAAAAACGACCCAGGTCCAGGGGACCTAACGTGCTTCCTCGTTAGCACGTCGCTAGTCGCCATTTGTATGGCTTACTCTTGGTTTCGTTGGTCCCAAAACCTGTTTCACGGAATTCCTCTTGTTTCTCTTGTCTTCCCTACCTTTTGTTCCTTGTCATCCCTGGTTTTGCCTGAGTCCGACTGTGTTTGCTTTCAATCCCTGCCCTAGATTTCCACCTTCCCTGTACCCTGTTTTTCCTGTTCGCCTGTGTTCCCCTCCGTTTTGCACACCTTTCCCCACCTCCCCCCCCCCCCTCTGCCGTCTCCCCCATCGGTGCCGCATGCGATGTTTTGCAGGTGGGGCTCCTGCGGCGTCTGGTGGGACTGGTGAAGGAGGAGGGGCTGCTGGTGCTGGTGGGCAAAGAGCCCCAGGAGCCTTCCATCGGCAGGTGGGGGGTTTGGGGGGGTTGGGGGTTGGGGGGTTGGGGGGGTGGGGGGTTGGGGGTTTGGGGGGTTGGGGGTTTGGGGGTTTGGGGGGTTGGGGGGTTGGGGGTTGGGGGGGGGGAAGGCAGCCCTTATTACCCCTCCCCCCATGATGGTTCGAAAAAGTGATGATTCAATTGGGGGTGCGTTTTCATCTCTGCAAACAAATCTAGAAACTATAGTGGGGTGGGGGTTCGGGGCTTCGGGGCTTCGAATCGGGCTTCGAATCGGTCGGCGCTTGGTTGGTGGTTTTCAGGGTTCCACTTTTGGACTACTCCAGGGTAGACTGAAACACAGGCGGTTGATTCCCCCCAAAAGGAGAACCCCTGGTTTCAAGTCCATCTTGGGGTAGTCCAAAAGTGGAACCCTGGTGTTTTCGGGTTGGATCTTCGACTTTTCGTTTGGAGGGGAGGGGTGGTATGAGATATCTTACAACTTGATATGACTTGTTAGCAAAGCGAACAGCGAACACTGCGTAAAGGCAACCTGAGTGATGAATCAAGCCGTGGCTGACCAATAGGCCTGTTTCATGATATTTGGGAATCCCCAGGCCCATGTCAATTAGGGACAAAGCAAGTAATTACCATGTCTCACCTGTTGAAGTCTTGCCATCCTCCCATAAATAACCCACCGCATTCCCATTCAGCACTTTAGTCAAGGTACAAATGAAATTAGCAAATGTGTAGCTTGTTGTTAGCAGCAGCATCTTCATCATTTGGTGAAGGTGCACAAACTCACTCCCTGAGTTCTTGGACTTTATGCCTGGGAAGACCATTTTTGTGCCTAGCAAAAAAACATCGGACTTCTTTGGCCAATCCACTCACTCGAAAGTGAGCGCAGTCGAGCCAGGTATTCTCGATCCCCTACCCTTTCACCCACTACCCCCTAAGTGATTTGGGGTATGCAATCGAGACGTGTTGTGCAATCCTTTTCGCTTGGAAGTGTTTGTGGCTCCTCTAGTTAAAGCTCTCTACAAGGCTCCAAACCCCATTAAAACCCCCGCTCCACCAAATCCCATCAAGCCCCTTAGCGGCCACGAAATCCCACGTAACCCACGAAAACCCTCTGAAACCCACCACCCTCTGAAACCCACCAACACCCAATGAAACCGTCTCAAACCCACCAACACCCAATGAAACTTTCTGAAACCCACCAAATCCCAACGAACGAACCCCTCTCAAACCCACCAACACCCATCTAAGCCCTTCGCATGGGCTCCTCGCCTGTCACCCCAGGAGCCCGGCGCTACAGCCTCCGCGGAGGCTTCCCGAGCGGCCGAGCTGGTGGCGGACGCGGAGAACTTCCGGGACGCGGTGATGGTGTTGGGCCGTCAGAGGAGCTACAGGCGCTCAGAGTCAAATGGCTTTCAGGGACGAAGTCTGAGTCAGAATCCCTTGTTTTGGGGAGGGCTCCCCTACTAAAATCGACTACAGGGAAAAAGGGTTCCCTTGTTCTAACCTCTCTACTGGAAGATCTAGGCAAATGTGACATTGATGCAATCTGGGGTTTTCCTTGGATTTTCCCGTCGCAGCAGCTTGTGATTTGATGTATCGGGTTGTTGCGGGAAATAGGTTTCAGGCTCAGAATCATAGGAAATGGTTTGGGCAAGGGGGGGGGGGTGCTAGGGAATCTCAGCAGGGGTTGGAATCCTATGACTCAGCCCAGTCGCTGTTTCCTTTGTTTGCTTAGCGAAACCCAATGCTAAGAATAGTTGACAAGCCATGGGGTTTATGTTCACGGGTTTGTCTCTTAGCTCTTCGTAGGGGAACCGCCAGCAGTTTCTTTTTGGTTTCAGCCAGTCCAAGTCCTTCGGACCCCTACCCCGCCTTTGCCCCACTTGGGCATCAACGCAATGGTCGGGTTCATGTTTCACCACCATTCTCTTGAGGATTGTCCTCCAAATTGGGTCCTACTAAAACGGACCACAGAAATTATTTTAAAATCGGGCACCCTTCTTCCAGCCTCTCTACTGGAGGACCTGGTTTACTGGGGCTCGGTTTGGGTTTTGACCCCTCCACCCTCCACCCCGCAAGCTGCCGCCTTGGGAACTCGGCCTTCGCCTTCGGCGCTAGCGGCTTGGTCGCCAGGGAGATGCCGCGGGCCTGGGTGGCGCGGCAGCTGTGGGGCCTGGGCCTGGAGCTGCTGGCGGGCCGCCGCTTCCCGCGGAAGCTCTCGCCCGAGAAGGCGAGGGGTTGATGGCGTCGAGGGGGTGGATGGGGTGGATGGGGTGGATGGGGTGGATGGGGTGGATGGCCTGGGGTTTTCAGGGGCGCCCCCTTTTACCTTTTTCCCCAACAGCTGAAAGCTTTGGGGTCTCAGCCCAGATAGGCTCCGGGGTGGTTCGGGGCGAACCTGAGCTAAGGTTCCACCAGGGTTCCACCAGGGGTTCCACCAAGGTTCCACCAGGGTTCCACCAGGGTTCCACCAGGGTTCCACCAGTGTTTCACCAGGGTTCCACCAGGTTCTGCAAGGGCGGGGTGGTCTGGGGTGGTTTGAGGTAAGGTTCCACGAGGGTTCCACCAGGGTTCCACCAATTTCTTCGAGGGCTGCGGGTTTGAGGAAGGTTTCACGAAGGTTCCGCCAGGGTTCCACCAGAATTCTGCCAGGGTTTCACCAGGTTCTGCGAGGGCTGCAGGGTGGTCCGAGGTGGTTTGAGGTAAGGTTCCACGAGCGTTCCACCAGGTTTCCGCCAGGGTTCCACCAGCCCGTCGTGCTCCGGACGAGGGTTGCACCAGGGTTCCACCAATTTCTTCGAGGGTGCGGCGTGGTCCGGGGAAGGTTCCACGAGGGTTCCACCAGGGTTTCACCAGGGTTCCACCAGCGGTCCGGGCTGGTTTGAGGTACTGTTGCATGAGAAGTCCACCAGAATTCCACCAGGTTTTGCAAGGTAAGGTTCCATTCCAGCACGGTTCTAGCAGGGTCCCACGAGGTTCTGCAAGGGCTGCGGGGTGGTCCGGGGTGGTTTGAGGTAAGGTTGTATGCGGGTTTCAGGGTTCCAGAAGATTCTGCGAGGGCTGTCACATAGTTCCACAAAGCTCTGCAAGGATTCCACACGGGTTCCACAAGGCCCCACAATGCTCCACCAAGGGTGCGTCGTGCGCCCGTGGTCTGAAAAGCCATCGGATCACGATCGCTTTCCTCATGGGCGGAACACTAAGCAAAACCAAAATCAATGGTTTTTAGCACACTTTCACTGTTTTGTGACTTGCTCACTTGCTCAGGCAAATGTTGGCTTTGTGGCAAATCAGATCACGTCGCTGCGGAACTCACGGTGCAGCAGAGTAAATGCTTGGCATTGCTGCTTGGTGGGCTTTGGGTTCCAAGAATTCCACGAGGCTGCGAGGGCTATGAGGTCAGAAGGTTTCCACCAAGTTCTGCAAAAGCTATGGGGCAGCCCTGAGGAAAGGTTCCAGCAAAGTTTCACGCTGAGCTCCACGAAAGTTGCGTGAGAACGGTTTGCGAGGTTCACCGGGCCTTGGTCGGGCCCGATTGCACTGTCGTTTGGGCCCGATCGGCCCCGATTGCGCCATCGCGCCCCGATCGGGGCCCAACTCAGTCGTGCCCCGTCAATTGTACCAAGCTGGCATCGTATAGTTTTGCTATAGATACAGTTGCAATCCGCATACTAAGGAAAACCGGTGTTGAGCTATAATATGCACCGTCGGGCCCCGATCGGGCCCCGATTGCACCGTCGGGCCCCGATCGGGCCCCGATCGGGCGATCGGGCCCCGATTGCGCCGTCGGGCCCCGTCAATTGTACCAAGCTGGCATCGCCTGGTTTTGCTATAGATACAAGTGCAATCCGCATGCTAAGGAAAACCGGCGTTGAGCTATAATATGCGTGGCTGGCGTTGCACCACGGGACGATCGGGGCCCGATTGCGCCGTAGCTTTGCTTTACAAGGCAGCATCCTCAGCAACACCGGCGGTAAGGATGGTCTCGGGGCGTTCCGCGAGGATTCTGGGAGGGTGTGGTGCTGTTGGGGATATTGCCCGAGCTTATTTTTTTTGGGGGGGGAGGGTTCCCCTACTAAAATCGATTGCAGAAAAAGGGTACCTGATGAGGTCGAGGGGATCCTCAGGTTGGGGAAGGGGGTGTGCAAGAGGGGGGTTTGAGGTAGTGCCCCCTCTTTTTGGGGGGGAGGGTTCCCCTACTAAAATAGATTGCAGAAAAAAAGGGTACCTGATGAGGTCGAGGGGGTCCTCTGGTTGGCTTCGGAAGACGGGGAAGGGGGTGTGCAAGGGGGGGGCGTTTTAGGTAGGTAGGTTTCCCAGTGGTGCCCCCTGTTTTTGGGGAGAGGGTTCCCCTACTAAAATAGATTGCAGAAAAAAGTTGGTACTTTTATTCTAACCTCTCTACTGGAGGACCTAGTCAGGGTTGGCTTCGGAAGGCGATGGCCCCCCCCAAGAACGGGGAGGGGGGGCGGGGCGTGTTCAGGGGGGGCCCGTTTAGTTTGCGGGAGTGACGAGCGAAATCCGATCAAGAACGGGCCTGGCGGTGGGTGGTCCGGATGTTTTCCGGAGGTGTGTCTGTGTGGCTTTCTCCGCATGTTTCCCTTTTTGCCTTTAGCTTCAGGGTTTTTCAGGTGAGTGGTGAGTGGCGAGTGGAGGGGACAGGCCGAAAGCTTCAAGAGTTCGGGTTAACTTCAAACGATGTGTTTTCAACCAGGAAGCAGGCGCACCGGGGCCGAAGTTTGGCCAAGATAAAGAGCCCAGAAACAGATGCTACCAGTCTTTTCGTGACCCTGGTATGGGTGCTATTCGGCGGTTCAGGGTTTCCCTGTGGGGTGTATGAGTCGACCTCTTTGTGCTCACAAACGCCCCCCATCATCCCTGAGGGGAAAGAACCGGACCTTTTTGCATATTTGGCTAAGATGTGGTTTCATACCCTTGACTTTTCGGCACATTGGAGCTAACTTTTGGCTGCCAGGTGGAACGGAATTTGGCCTGGGCGGAGGAGGAGCCGGCGACCTGTCCATTTCAGGCAACCCCATCCGAAATCTATGCTAAACCCACCTTAAACCTACCCCAACCCCTTGAACCCTAAATCAACACCTACCCTAAACTATGGATTTGGGTTTGGATTGGGGGTTGGTATGGGGTTGGTTTGGTTGAGGATTAAACCGGGCTTAGAATGTAGGTTTAAGTCCACCCCAAACTCACCCTGAACCCACCCTAAACCCACCCTAAGCCCACCCTAAAACAGCCCCCTTTCCCACCTCAAACCCCCATCCAAACCCATGAACCTATGCCCGCCCTATCAGCCCAACTTTAAACCCACCCTACACTCATCCCCACTCGAATTCACCCTAGCCCTCCCCCTTCTAACCCCCAAGCCCTGAACCCACCTGAAGCTATCAACCAACCCCGAACCCGCTCAAAACCCAACTGGACCAAATCCCGCAAACCTCGGAGAGCAAATCTCGAAAAAGAGGGCGGCCTTTTTGGGGTTAGTTTGAGACGCACCCAAGTAGGGTCTGAAGGGCTTGGGTTCTCGGGAGAGGCTTCGAGTTGCTTGGTGAGGAGTTGGCGCACGTGGACAACGCCTTGCGCCCGGATCTGGTGAGGCGAGGGCTCGCGGAGGGTCAGGAAGACTTAGCTACCCTTGAGCAGTTTTCAGATGCAAACCCCAAAGGGGGTTCCCTAAAAGGAGATGTCTCGGAACATTGCCAGACTCTGGCCTTTTTGCGGTGGGTTTTCTCGCTTTTTTTTCCATTTACCCGGCAAGGAGTGTTCACTGCTGGAAGTTTGGTCTGGAATCCGACTGTGGCCTGGAAATGTGGCCTGGAAGCCGAGTTGATTCTCCATGGACCGCAAGCCAGAAGCTTCCAGATTGTTTGTCTTTGAACATAGTGAATTCTGAACCATGGTGGGTGGGGTTACCATATACATTCATTCACGCATAAGATTTCGCCCTGGTCCCTTTAGGCAACAAGGCTTGCCCTCCCCAAAAAAAAAGGAAAAACAAAGAACAAACAAAACACAAACAGGAAACATGTGAGAAGCTGAGACCTCCGACCCCCAATCCCAGTTGGAGAACAAGCTGTCGCCAGGTGGGGCCCATTCGCATAGTCAATGGTAGAACCCATTTCGGGAGTTCCAAACTTGGGGCCGCGACAAGCATAGGACAGACCCCGAAAACGCGGAGAAAGACAGCTTCTTGAGCTTTGGGTTCTTGCTTCTGATGCTTGTGCCTGATCGCCTGCCGCAACTTGCATTTCCGAAAATGGAATGCCGAGTGACCTCTTACCCCCCGCTGCTTCTCACTTTGTTCCGTACCTGTTACATTTGTCTCACAAATCACGCACCAACACAAAAAAAAGAGCTTGTTCAGTTGCTTGTCTAGTTACATTTGTCTCACGATTACGCACCAACAAAAAGCAAAATGCTTGTTCAGTCGCTCGGCTGGGAAGGCTCGCCGTACTTTCGAACAGCAATCCTCTTGCAGCATGCCCTGGCTTCCCTCAGCTGTAACCCACGCCGGTGCCTTTGCCTTTCTGCTGCTCTCCGTCCTGTTGGCCTGTCCCTTTGCCATATCGTTTGCCTTTCTGCTTCTTTCCTTTGAAAGTCGGTGTTCCATCTTTGGAATAAATCCAGTCCAGGTTTGATTCATTTTGATGAGCTCCTTGGTGCCCATATCCTTTGCCTTTGCCATCATAAGGCCATTTGCCTTTGCCTTTGGAATCCTTTCCTGACGTGGGGATGGCCAACAGAGCCCATAGAAAACCAAAATGGGGTTCCCCAAATGTAGATTATTGTTCAACAATTGCCGGTTTTTTTCGGGGAGCCCGCGGGAGTAGACTAGAGATCCCTTAAGCTTGGAGAATCCTCCTTTTCAGCGTCAAAGTAACCATAGTGTGGCCAAGATACAAGCAGATTCCGTTTTACCAGCAAAAGAGAACTCACCTGACAGGCAAACCGCATCTAGACCCCAAGGAAGCCGAGCGCAGGCATCTGGCGCGGCTACGCGCCCGGCTGCAGCATTGCCCGCTGTCGGGCCTCACCTTCGGCCGGGGGGCGGGAAGGTGAAATGGTCCGCCCAAGGTGAATCGAGCTTTTGACCTTTTAGTTTGGGTCTTTGGGGTCTTTGGGTGGGGGTTTTGGGTGGGGTGGGGGCCCTTTTGGCACCCATTTTTCGTGGCGATCGCCTTTTATTTTTTGGTCCTTTGGGCAGCGAATGAGATCCACGAAAAAAACAGTGTGGGGTGCAAACGTGACACAGAAAAGCAATCTGGGCATTCGTGCGTCGGGTTTCCCACAAGCCCCATGTCCGACTGGGTTTGCCTTGACTCCATGTTGTTAAACCCACGTGAGGCTAAGGGAGCGGCGCAACTTGATTTGCTATTGATCAAAGAAGCCTAAACTCTTGTACCCGAACCCCGAAAGCTCTCAGATGAAAACGAGTGGCAGGAAAAGGTTGGGCAGGACCCTCCTTGTGGGCGGCCAGATTACGTTCGTTAAGAAAGGGAGTCAGAATGCAAAATCTGGAGCCTATATTTATATAAGGGCTACATGAGTGCAAACATTTTTCTCAGCATGAGGTAGTTTGGTTTGAGAGCACCCAGCGGGTTAAAGCAGCGTCCACCTCTCCGATTCAGGCGAGGACTACGCACTGGTGCTCCGCAAGTCGGCGAGCGCGAAAAACCAGCCGAGTGCGCTGGGCGGTAGAGGGGGGTTGCGCCTTTACAGCCAGCTACAGGAAGAAGTTTTACAGGACTTCACCGCTCTTGGCATCTTTTCAAGCTTTTTGGTTCTGTTCTGTTGTAGTAGGCTGCAAGCAGCCTTCATTTTTTCTCGCATGCCAAGGATTGAAAAGAGGACATCCTTGCACAGCCTGCTAGGGTTTCAAATGGCGCAAGCTTCAATGCAGCCCGTACTTTTTTGGCATCGGTTGGTGGCTTGAACAACTTTTTGGATCGTGACGGAAAAATCCACCCACTAACAAACCAATGGTCTTTGCCTGTTCAGTTGCCGTAATTTAAACCATTTGTTCTCAAGGCCTAACAGTTTCAGAATTTCTGGCTAGTCAACTCAACAGGTCAGTTCTTTGCGGTCGGTTTGACCAACCCAGAAAATGAACAGATGACCTTGGATTATTTGGACTGTAGCTTCTTGGTTGAAACCACGGGTTTTGCAAATGGGACCCAAAGGGCTTAGTTGCCGGGTCAAATTGGTTCCTGGTTGCTGTTAAACCCTTCAAATTGGACCCACACAAAGTTGTTCGCTTCTTGCAGAGGGGGCCTCACAGCAACCAAGCCGCTCGTCATAGCCCTTCTGGGTCCCCGGCCACCGCTTCCGACTTCAAGAGATTCCCGCGAACAGCCTGTTTCTGGCGGGTGTCTGATGTATTTTGCCGTTCTGCAAATGCAGGGCGTATTGGGGGAAAGCAAATGAGAGGGGGGGGCCTTTGAGTTTGGAGCAAAGTGCTAGTTTTCTTGTCTCAGATTCCCTTTTTGAATCCAAGCAAACACAATGCCGGGCTTAGTTTGTAACTCGTTGCCTTGTTGGCGTTCCTTCATTTTCCCCTCCAGCAATCCAGAATATCATGCTTCGCGGTTTCTAAGTCTGGCCCAGAAAGGGTCAATACCGGAGTTCCTTGTGCCAGGATCATCGTTTTCTCTGTTGCTGGGGGTTTCTCAAAGTCAGACACGTGGGCTTTCCCCCTTTTAATCTACCACTTAGCGGGTGACCTTGGTAACGGTAGAATAGTGGGGCCAGTTACATGTCACCCGCTTGAACATGACACCACTCAAAGGAAGCTCAATCAACATAAACCCGGAAGAAATGCTTAAATCACCAACAAATGAAATCTAAGGAGCACAGCAGCAAGCAAAGCGTACATATGTATATACGTGTATGTGTACATATGTACGAATACATGTATATATATTACTGTATACATCTGCATTTGGAACTCTGCCTTGTGTTGTTCGAACCTTCACCTTGGATAGTGGGAAAAGAAAAGGCAATGGCAACAAACGGATCACACATAGCAATAGCCTTTTAACTTTTAGGGGTGCATGTATTCACTTTGCCCAATCGAACCGGAACCTCGCCCACCTGTCGCTTTTTCGCGTTTGCCATAGAGCTGAAACCCGTCGCCGGTCAACCGTCGAGCCGAGGCCTGTGCCCCAACAAGCCCTGTGAAAAGAACTGCACCCCGGTGGATTGCGCCTTCTCCGAGTGGGGCAGCCATTCCCTCGGCGGGAAACGAAACGAATCTGGCGGGGGAAGAAGACAACCAACAAGTTGCCAGGCAGCGGAGGTCTTTTTGGGCCCGTTTGCACAGGGTTTCCTTTTCCCTTTGAACGAGCGCGAGTGCGCTGTGTATCCGACATTTACTGGGGGCTCTGGGAACTTGAGCCCCTTTGCACCCCATGTGGAGGTTTCTGTTACTGACGCCCAAAAGCCATGGAGAGTCCCTACGGCCATGGATGGCAGTGACTTCGCCCAGCTCAGGGCTTCAGTTTGGTGGATGTGTCAACATAGGGATACAAAGGCAACCACCACAAAAGCGGGGAGCTCGGGTGGCCTAACATTTGGATTGTTTAGGGTTCCTTTGCCAGTCATACTGTTGGAGTTCTATTTTTGTAGATTTAAGAGTCTTTCTTTTTATTGAACGCAAAAGCAACAAAAACACAAACACACAACATATGACATATCCCACTCACAGCGTAACTTTTCGCAAGGGATGTGCGAACCACTAAGTTACGGTTTTCTCGGTTGCCTTGGAGCTCCCCCAAAAAAAGGGTTCTAAGTCGGCGCACGGGTTGGCCCAGCCCCCTTGACCGGTCGGATTTGGTGTCGCGCTCCCGGATCCAACCGCCAATCCTGGGTTCGGGCTGGTTCCGAAGGTTCCGGGAAGGTTCAGGACATAACTTGTTTCGCTTCGTTTTGCACCTAACGTGGTGGTTTGTTTCATTGCCCATGCAACAGCGCAACCAATTGAGGGAACATCTAGCGACCCCGCACCCGACCAGCTGAAATAGTCCCAATGTTCATCAATGTTAGGTGCTGAACGGTTGCTTCCTTCAGCTATCTACAGTGGTGACTGTCAAGCAGCACTTGAGCATCGCAACCCCTCGTTGGCCATGTTTGCAGGTTCCAGACTATACCTCACTCCGTGAGTTCCTGGTTGCGTGATCCATCCAGGGCTCAGGAAGTGCGACCCATCCCAGGGACGGAAAACACAGAGGCCTCAGACTACCAGAAACTACTCTTGAAACCCGGGCAGTTCCAGGGTCCCACCGGGTTTTGTGGGGCGCTCCAACTCGGGGAGACTCGGGGAAGTCTCGGGGAGACCCGAGAGTCTCTCAGCTCGAGGCTGGAGCGTCCCGAGCTGCGACCAGCTGGCGGAGCGCAAGCGGGAGGTGAACCGAACCGCGAGGTGCGAGCGTGGGTGCAAGCCGTCATGTGGCGGTTCCCGGCCGTCCGGCTGAGGTTGTTATTTGTTTTGAGTGGGTTTAGTGGAGGTTTTCAGGGCCCTCTGGTTTTCCACGGACTAACTTCGCAAACCCTTGTGGTTTGCGGACGTCTCTGGTCTAAGGACATGGGCGTGCTCTAGTCATTGAAGAACACAACATCCTAAAGGACAATTGCATGGTTGTTGTTGGGAAACATTTTACACTTTTGCTTATTGTGATTTAGTAGGAAATCCCCACTGAACTGCTAAACAATCTAATTTTTTGCTCCCCTTCCAACGTCAACCAAGTTTATTTCCTACACGAATTCAGCTTCTATTTTTGCCGGAAGGACAGAGGTGCAATCACAAATGAAGGGGATTCAGGGACAGTTTCAGTTTCGGCAAAAGAGGGGCACACACACTCCCCGGCCTAGGTTGACCTTGGGAGCCCCTGTTTTGTGTTTCAGAGGCAGGTTTCGGAGTCTCAAAACAATGACAAAACACAAGTATTGGGTTCTTTTGTTTTCCTTCAGGAACCAATGTTGACCCAGACAAAAAGGAATCAACATCGGGCAACACTAAATGTTTCGAAGACCATTTTTTTTCAGAGGGCACTTGGGTTGTTCGTAACCAAAAATGTGATTGCAGCAAGCTTATCAAAGGGCCCCAAGCTTCTTTTAAGTCCCCTTCCCCCAGCGGAGCCCTTCGGGGCGAATAATCCCGAGCCTATCTCCACTTGGGTTGAGAGATCGGCTCATCTGGGCAAACTCAAGTTGGACACCCCAGAAAGTGCTGGGCTTTCTGGGCTGGGGGGCAACTCGCCATCTCTGTGGCCATAGGTGTCCTTTTCGGTGGTTTTGCTGGAAAAATAGATGGCCCTGGTTTACCTGGTGGTTTAATCATCTAAAAAGGACACCTATGTCTGTGGCAGAGTAATTTGTGTGGTGTTTCCGCCGCAAGTGCTCGACAAGTGAAACTGGGGATGCCCCCCTCCTACAGGCAAAAATATGCGTCATTTGAGATAGATGAAACGCTGTTAAGGCTGGGATAAACCCTTTCCAACTGGTGCAGGATTGGGCCCACAGTGTTACTCAGCCCAGACCCCACCTATTGACCTTTTTGTTTCCCAGTTTCAGTCCAGTTCTGTTGACGCATGGCATCCAGTTCTGTTGACGCATGGCAGCGGGTCAAACTCAATGGCGCCATTTTGGGGTAGGTGCACCACCCATTTTAGTCTTTTTTAGTGGGGATTGGGATGTTCACTGGGGGCTGCGGGGCTTTGACCCATGGCCACATTTTGCCAGAGTCTTTATGTGAGGCGAACCGATGGGCGTCAACTAGTGGGGATCCATGCCCTACGTCTTCATAATGCATTGGCGGGGGGGTGAGAGGGGGGGAGGGACGTGTGCTGGACCCAAAAGAACGTGCATGGTCAAATTAGGGCGACGCCAATAGATTGCAATCTTCAGATACAAGTGAAGGTTCCTTGCCACCTTATCTTATTAATGTTGCGCACAGGTATTGTTGAACCAATTGCATCACGATCATGGGACAATGTGTGTCCAAGTTTGGAAAAGTCATTGGCTCCAACCTGAAGAGACATTTGCCCACATACATTTGTCCGGACTGGGCACGAGAAATCATGCAAAGCGGGGCTTAGCCCCCAAGCAGGGTGAGTAGGCGGATTCGGAACCAAAAAATGAGAAAATGAGTACTTTCCTTTTGGCTTCCTTCTGGTGTGTCCCCATTTTTTTTCTCGTTTGGGGTTCCAAGAGGAACCAGCATTGCATTTGAACAGTTTTAGGAGTCCAAGTCATATGCTTGGCAACACCCGAAGCCTTCATATGTTCCTTCAAGAGCCACAGCAAGGGGATCAGGTGCAGCTGAAAGCAGTGCCGGGTGACTGTGGTGCCGCTTGTCGGGGCTATACAGGGACCATTCACCAGGAACTTGCCGATCGGTTTTTTTCTTCTTGCGAGCCATGGTCAGGGCCAGGCCAAAAAGAGGAAGGCACCCCCAAGGCCTTGAGCATAAGCCGGAACTTCTGTGCAGGTGCGGTGGGACTCCTTGTGCTGGTGTGTTGGCGTGGGCGCCCAGCCGGAGAGCGAGCGCGAAGCAGTGCTCTTTAAAAAGATACACGCGCGTGTTTGTGTGTGTGTGTGTCCGTGTGTGTAAGAACGAGAGTTGCGCTTAAACAAGTTTCAATACCGATATTTCATGTGTGTGTGTGTGTGTGTGTGTCTGTGTGTCTGTGTGTCTGTGTGTCTGTGTGTCTGTGTGTCTGTGTGTCTGTGTGTCTGTGTGTCTGTGTGTCTGTGTGTCTGTGTGTCTGTGTGTCTGTGTGTCTGTGTGTCTGTGTGTCTGTGTGTCTGTGTGTCTGTGTGTCTGTGTGTCTGTGTGTCTGTGTGTCTGTGTGTCTGTGTGTCTGTGTGTCTGTGTGT